CTCTCTCTCTCTCTCTCTCTCTCTCTCTCTCTCTCTCTCTCTCTCTCTCTCTCTCTCTCTCTCTCTCTCTCTCTCTCTCTCTCTCTCCTTGTTTTTTTCCAGTTTCAGACCACTAGCAAGGCTATTGACTCTATGCCGCCGGCTCTAATTTTTGGTGCATTCATTGATTTTCTTCTAGAAGCGGAGGTCTGAGGAGTGTTGCGATGGTAACGGGTGCTCTTGTGCTGTTGGCCAATGATGGAACGGTATGTGCTTTCTTCTTCTTCTTCCCCCTGTGTGTGTGGGGGGGAGGGTGCGGGGGTTGGCATGTTTGCTATACAAAAAAAAGAAAGCATGGCTGTGCCAGATGGTTTCATCGGACTTTACCGGCTCAGGAAAAGGTTGAACCCCAACAGTCTGCCCAGGATGCATTTAACTGATGGAAAAGGCCTCACCACGTCACCGAGAGTTAGTGATACACATAAGAAAATTGGTCGACTTTACTCGCACCAACCCTGCCATCCCAGCCGACTTTCGGTCCGAACCCCTGACAAGAACGGCAGTAAGTCTGAGAAACTAATCTTTCACAGCCATAAAACCCACTCCACACAACCACTTAGCCACGTGCACCCCTGTGTATGCAGGAAGGCATAGCTGCGACCAATCACAAGCTTTTATTAGTGGAATTTGGTATACTGCAAGGATATTTGTCCTCGGCAGGCTCCTAAGGGGTCCCGCTGCAAGCCATGTGCCCGCTTCACGTGTAGGTGGGCCTGCAATTCTCCAAGAGGCCTAAACTGGACATTTTCAGGGCCCTGTGGGCGCCAGACAGTTACTGGTAGCCAGTTGGTTGAAGGGCCCTGCACGCTAAGCAACTGTGGAATCGTGAGCCTTCTAGGCTCTTCCAGACACAACGGAGGAAAAAGCCTTCCGGCCTGTCAGAACGCAGGGAGTGACGCAGGCCACATTGGACAGTCGGGTGCGCCTAACTGTTTCAGTCCCAGGCCGCTATCTGAATTGGGCCTGCGGGAAGAAACTTTGGTGCAACGTGAAACTACTGGGCACACATTCGCCAGGCCCAGGCTGCCAGTACAGGCAAGCACTTTCCATATAGGAAAGTGCTGGCCTGCCTCCAGATCATTCGGGTATTTCGTGACTTGGGGCAGTCCTGCTGGAATTAGCGCTCGGAGGCCGCTAGTAGGGAGAACCTGGGCACTGCACGGGCGTAGTGGTGGTGGCCCTGTTGGGCGCAGCGTGGGAGCAGCGCCATAGCCCAGCCGTACACAGCCGGACTGGTGCTGCAGGAGGTCAGCGGGGGGTATTGTGGTGGTCTTCGGGTGGAGGACGACTGCGTGGATGAAGACAAGGGTGAGCTGAGAGAGAAAGAGAGAGTATGTACCTGTTTTGTCGTGGAGGTCTGCATGGGCAACATCTGCATGTTCTTTCATTTCTGCTGCTGAAGTCTTCTGGCTGCGGCATTGTAGCTATGGCGCGCAGCGCTGGAGACTACAGCTACCTACTGCGCCCAGCGCTGAAGACTAAGGCTAACGCTACTACTACTCCTGCAGCACTCCCTCCAGAGTGCTGCTGCCGAATCCTGAAGACTACTGCCTCCTGCCTACCCGTGAAGTGCATGGGAAGTCCCTATGTACTACCTCGGCCTGCCTCCTGACTGCCTGAAGGGCGAGCCAGGCCGAGGAGGCTGCTCTTGCCAATGCCGAAGTGTGCCAGGGCTGGCGCTGCAGCATCTGCTGAGGCTGGCGTGGGAACAGGCTAAGAATAGCCTGTTCCCGAAACCCTGGTTCGGTGCCTGAGTTTCAGGGTCGGTCGTTCTGATGAACGACCGAAAATGGCCCTTCGTTTCAGGCTAAAAAGGCTATTGCCATTTTTAGTCTGAAACGACACAGGGACTGTAGGCCCCTGTTTTCAGGCTTTCGGGCTAAACAGTCACGGGGCTTGTAGGCCCTGGTTTTCAGGCTTTTAGCCTGAATTTCAGGCTTTCAGCGTGAAGGACGCAGGACCTGGAAAATGGCCCTCGTGTGCAGGCGCAGCATGTAACATCCCCCCCTCCTTATGAAGTCAAGCCGGGGCGAGGGCGAAGCCGACGATCTGAAGGTGGAACCTGGACGTGGGCGCGGCGTGGAGCCGAAGAAACCGGCTTGCCTTGCATCTTGCGTTCGTAGCATGCGAGAACGTCTGGAGCTGTTGCTTGAAGTTCCGCACGGGTCAACCAACGGTCAGCTCGATGTGTGCAGTATGCAAAATGCACCAAATACTCGGTTGGCCTGTTGCCGTAGCGTCGCTGGGAGATAATGTCGCCGACCTCCTGAAAACCGTCCATGGAGGGTGGGTCTTGCGAACGTCTCCCGGAAAAATCGTCATGTTCCGCTGGCGTGTAAAGAGCCAACTTGGAGCAATGAAAGACTGGGTAGACGGGCAAGTGGGCGGGCACCTGCATCGTGAAGGAAGGTCCCTCGGGTGCGTCCCCAGCGGGTGCCACGATCGGCCAAGGCCCTATCCATTTCGAGAGGAGCTTGCGAGAGATATCTTGTTCAAGGCTGAATTCCACGGCGGAGACCCAAACGAGATCGCCAGCTCGGAATGGGCAAGGAAGACACTGGCGATTGGCCTGCTGGCTCATGCGTTGCTGCGTCTTGGCCATCTGGTCGCGTGCCTTGACAAGTAGCTCTTGCATCCGACGCAAGAAAAGAAGATGGTCGTCGCTCTCGACCGTTCGTGGAGTGATAGTGTCCAACGCCGAAGTGACCGGCGGGCGAACTCAAAGGGCGACATCCCGATAGCTGGGTGGATGGAGGAGTTGTAGGCCAACTCTACACCCGGCAACCGCTCAACCCAGTCCTTCTGGTCAGGACGGATGAGAGTGCGAAGGAGAACCTGTGCGGTCTGGTGCGCCCTCTCCGTTTGGCCATCGGTCTGAGGGTGGCGAGCTGAACAGGGCTTAAGAGATGAGCCCCATCGCTTGATGAGCGCCAACCAAAAATCGGACATGAACCGAGTGTCGCGGTCGCAGACGATTTCCTTGGGGTAACCCTTGGTTCAAATCCAACCGGCGTAGAGAACCTTGACCAACTCCTGTGCCTTGGCATGATAGCGACAAGGCAAAAACATGGCGAACTTGGTGAGTCGGTCGACCACCGTGAGAATCCCATCCACACCGGTCTTGTGCTTGGGGAACGAGCAGGTAATGTCCATGGCAATCGCTTCCCTTCGCCTCAATGGGACCGGTAATGGTCGTAACTCGTCGTACGGACGATGGTTGCGGGATTTGCAGCGTCGGCAAACCTTGCATGACTCATGGCAGGAACATCGTGGAACTCGCCAAGAAGCCGTGTACGCAAGTGAGGATCACTCGGTATGCAAAGAAGGTCCTTCCCCCGCGTGTGGACAAGCAAGTACCCCTTTTGGATCCGGTAGTGAGAACGCGCCGGATTAGGAGAGGAGCAATTCGCGTACTTGTCGCGAAACTCGGGGTCGGCTTGGTAGCCGTGGACGAAGCTGTTTCGGAGGTCGTTCTCGATCTCAAAGGTTGAGTAGACCGCGGTACAATGATCCGAACGTCGTGAAAGAGCATCCGCAAAATGGTTCGACTTCCCCGGGATGTGATCGGGAAAGAAGTCGAACTGGTCGATGAAAGCCATCCATTGAGTGATGATGCTGTTGACGGTGCCTTGGGTCTTGTAAAAGACCAACGGATTGTTGTCCGTTACCCATCGAAATTGGCTTCGACCAAGGAGGAAGTGCCGCCACCGCTTGAGCGTGTGGACGAAGGCGAGGAACTCCTTCTTGCGTGCATCGTCAATGGAATGCACGACGGACACTTTCTTGCTGAAATACTCAACCGGGTGCCAGTCCACACCATCATGTTCCTCGAGGACGGCACCAATGCCATAGTCGGACGCATCCATAGTGACGCGTGTAGGCAAAAGCGGGTCGTATATGCGCAAGACCTCCGCAAATAATAGCGCGGCTTTGAGTGCCAAAAATGATTCCCGCGCCTCCTCTCCGAAGTCAAACGGTCGATCCTCGCATTGAAGCTTGGTCAAATGGGCCGCGATCTTCGAGTAGCCTTTGATGAAACGCTAATAGTAGCCGGCGAGGCCAAGGAACGAACGAACATCCGTGACGTTCCGAGGCTCCGGCCACCCTTGGATGGCTTGAATCTTGCCTGGTAGCGGACTGATGCCCTCCGGTGTGACAAAATGGCCCAAGTATTCCAGGTCTTGTCGGACAAATTCGCACTTGTCGCGGTTGGCCTTGTACTTGGCGCGGCTGAGCGTCTCCAACACTCGTCGAAGGTACCCAAGATGATCCTCCAAAGTCCGACTATACACGAGAATATCGTCTAAGTAGACCAGCACGAACCGGTCCAACATTGCACGAAACTCATTGGTCATTGCCGCTTGAAAGGTCGCCGGGGCGTTGGTGAGGCCAAAAGGCATGACCACCCACTCAAAATGCCCGTACCGCGTCTTGAACGCGGATTTGTAGCAATCATTCGACCGGATCGAGATTTGATGATATCCCGATTTCAAATCCAACTTAGAAAAATACTTTGCGCTGCCCAATCGCTCAAGAAGATCGTCGGTGCGAGGAAGACGCCCCGCATTCTTGACGGTTTGCGCATTGAGCTTGCGGTAGTCGATACACAATCGTAGATCCTTGTTCTTCTTCCGGACGAAGAGAACTGGTGCTCCATATGGGGAGCTACTAAGGCGGATCCAGCCCTTGGTCAACAAGTCGTCGAGTTGTGCGCGGAGGACCTCAAGCTCCTCCTCGCTCATCCGATAGATGCAACCTTTCCACGGCACGACACCGACCTCAAGAATGATCTCGTGAGAGATCGGCCGATCCGGCACCAGACCGGTAGGTGACTCGAAGATGTCGGCGAACTCGTCCAGCAACCGCACCACTCGGGGGTCCGAAGACAAGTCTGTGGGTGAAGCGTCGGCTACCGCGACGGTCTGTAGGAAACATAGGCCGATCTCCTCCGGCTGCTCGTAAGTGCAAGTCGCCCAGAATGATATGGTTGTCACCACTTGGCACCGAATCGAAGGGTGCGGTAAAGGAATAGTACACGCCACTTCGGCGCCGAAGGCGTCGCAAACACTAAGAGTCCACCGCTGGAAGTTGACAGTGTGATCCGCACTTGCAAGCCAAGGCATTCCCAGAATGATGTCGAAGTCCGTGTCCAAGATGTGGAACGTCACCGGTTCGCATGCATGAGGTGCGAAATAAACTGGTACGACCTCGATGTAACGGTCGAGAAGTTGCTGCGTTTTTCCATCCGCCAACTTGATCGTCGTCGGGTTTGCCTTCCTCCGAACTTGTGCGCCAAGGCAAGCCCTTTGCATAAAGCCCTGCCTCATGAAATTGCGAGTGCGCCGCTATCCAGCAAAGCACTGCAGGATGCTTGCCCAACTTGGATGCGGACATACATGAGCGGTGCGTTGTTGTCATCGTACCACTACGTGCGAAACTGGCGGGCCACCTTGGTAACATACGTGCAATCAGACTTGCTTTCATTCACACTTAACATGTATGCAAACAATAGTGCAGCAAACTGGCGACATGCGCCCACTCAAAACTCATAGATATGGAAACCCAGATACGAGTTCACTTTCAATGACTATGGCGACTCAGCGCCCAAACAACTCACTGTTCGCATACACCAGATCACCCTGGATATCCCACACACGATACTTTGCACTCACACATACACACACACTACACACTAACTCTAGCTATGGCGGCTATGGCCGCAACTACCCTATCGCTATGCTACTCTCCTTCTCTCTCGCCCACTTCAGCTCCGGGCTCACTGCAGACCTCCTTGCACAAGTCGTTGTGGCAGCGCTTGCGCATGGCTCACACAGGAATGAATGAATGGCTGGGCGCTGCCTCTTGATTTATACTTCTAAAACTCATTGGTATGCCCTTTGCCACCGGCCCATGGTGCTCACAGTCCCTTGTGGTACTTGCTGGACCGGACTGGGACTGATTGGACCTTACCGCTGACTGAATGGGGACTCACTGCTATCCTACCGCTATCGTACTGCGGACGAAGTGCAGTTGGTCCACCGCTTGACTCACCACTTGCCCACTTGCCCACTTGCCGACCTTCTAGAAGGCTACAGCTAAGACTTCTAGACTTCGCTAAGACTTCTATTCGACAGACCTACAGATCGAACCCCTACTACCTACGGACCCTACGATAGTCTACTAACTGTTACAAATTCACAGGTCGTGGGTTCAAGCCTTGGGGTCGACACAGATACTGTACACCGATAGGGTAAGGGCTAGGGATCGAGCCCTGGGGTCTGCATCTGCTACTGCAAAAAGGTGAAAACCGTTTCACTCCCGCCGTCCTAAATTCGAGGTCCTCCGAGAATATTTCAGTCCAAGGCAGGACCTTTACCTTTCCGATCACGCTCATAGGCTCTGACTATGTCAGGAGCTGTTTCTAGAAGTTTTGTTCTAGTAAACCAACGGTCGTCTTCTGGTTCCTGATAGGCAAACCGGACCTTATACTGTTTTTGTGGACAACCTCTACCTCTTGTCCTGAACATATCTTCAGCTACAATGCCGTCAATGTCATATGTGCCATCCATATTCGGAGGGATCATGGATCTTCTTGAAGGGAATTGTTGACTTGTGACACATTGGCATCAGCTTTGAAGCATGGAACACCGGGTAGGTGTGGAGGTGTGCTGGAATCTCTATAGTGTAGGATGGTCCATCCTCTCCGCCCTTGACTTCTAGAACAGGCCACGGTCCTCTATATGCAGGCAGTAACTTCTGCGAGATGTTCTCCTCAAGCGCAAACTCTTTAGACTTGACCCAGACCAGGTCGCCTACCTGAAACTGCGAGGGGCGACGGTGCTTATTAGCCTGTTCTATCATGCGGTGTTGGGCCTTCCTGAGGTTTTCAACAACAGTTGTTAGTTCTTTCTCGTGCTGTATCGCGAACTCCCTGGTTCCGGGCGTTAGCCTGTGAATCTGATCCCGGGTACGTCCCTCAAACGGTCTGCGCGGTCTAAAGGACTTGTGCAACTCGTTGGGAGTGCGACAGGTTGACAAATGCACGCTATTATTGTATGCGCTGGCTACCTTGAGCAACATCTCGTCCCAATTGACTTGATCCGGTCTAATATACATGCGCAGAACTTGCTGCAAGATCTTGTTCATCTGTTCTGTCTAACCGTTAGTCTCTGGATGACGGCCAAATGACATCAACAACTTTGAACCACATCAGTCCGTACGGACGGAGGTCCCCGGGAAGATCTCCGTACGTACGGGCGTTCGGGGTCCCGTGCGGGGTCCGAACCCGACGGCGTTCGGCGCCCGCCAAAAATTATTTGGGGGCCTAAAAATAATTATTTTTTTCTAAATTTTTTTTTTCGTGAGTTCTCTATGACGTGAGGTACATGCCTATAAAATTTCAAGTCATTTGGCTAGGCCAAATAAGAATTAAAAATCTTTGACCTGTAGGAGGAGGAGATCCTGTTTTATTTTAACATCTGTTTTGGTTCTTTGGTCGGGATGGCCACCTTAGAGAGTGATCTCTAAAGAAAAACGTTGCTCGCCCACGTATTTTTTCACTTTTTTCTTTTTGTTTCACTTTAGTTCGGGTTCTAAACAATTTTATTATTTTTTTAAACTTTTTTAGTGGGTTTTGTATTATGTGAAGTACACATCTGCAAATTTTCAGGACATTTCGCTATGCCAAAAAAAAATGAAAAACCGCCAAAGATGGCGGTGTCGAAAACATGCTTGCGCACTCACTAAATTTAATTCTCTTGTTATTTTTATTTGTTTTTATTATTAGTATTTGTTTTCTGTATTTTATTTTTATTTCAAATTTGGTAAGGAATTCGGATGTAATGCTCAGGMAAATCTTGTTTAATTTATTTTTCTCCATAACATATMTTTTTTTCATATTTGTTTGATGACTTTTTTTTTTTTTTTTTTTTTATCCTCGTTCAGCCCGAACGGCCGAACGCATCCCTAAGGGGTTCCATACGTTCGGGCGTTCGGCCCGTCCCGAACGCCGGTTACCCTGTATATATATATATATTTTTTTTTTGGTTTTCTCCTAGCCTACCAGTTGGGCCTCTCGGGTCACCTTTGCGTGGCCCAGCCGTGTAAGAGCCAAAGAGGCCCCCAAGAAAAATGAAAAAAAATCCAAAAAATCCTAGGCTACCAGTCGGGAGGCCCGGGTCTCGGGTAGCCAGGCCTTGCAAGGACCAGGTAAGGCCCCAAAAAAAAAAAAACTATGTTATGCAGAAAAATAAACTGAACAACTTTTGCCTCAAGATCACATCGAAATTCTTCACCAAATTTAAAATAAAATTTAAAATTTAAAACTAATTGTTTTATTTTTATTTTTTTAATGTTTTTGGCGCAGCCGGGTAAGTGACCCGGGGCCTGCGTAGCACCGTGTTTGCGTTCAGAGGCGAATGCAAACAAGCGCCCAAAACCCTCTAAACGCGAACATAAAAAATATTAAAACAAATAATAATACAGTTCTCAAAAAAATCTGAAAAACATTTATGTTATGTAAAATAACAATTTAAGCAACTTTTGCCTTAGGGTCATGTTTAAATTCGTAGCCAATCATGAGATAAAAATCACAAACCGAAAATATATATATATATATATTTTTTACGAAAACAAATATGTTCGCCCGAACATGTTCACGAGTTGTTCGTGCGAACGTGTGAACACGTTTGCGCGAACCTGAAGGGGCGCGAACATGTTTGTCGTGCTACGCAGCCCGGGGCCATTCTGGTAGCCTAGAAAAAATCTGAAAAAAACTGTGTTATGCAGAAAAATAAACTGAGCAACTTTTGCCTCAGGGTGACATCAATTTTTGTCATCGAATTGCAAATAAAAATAAAGTTTAAAATTCTTCTATTTTTATTTTTATTTTTATTAATTTATTTTGGCCCATCGGCGCAAGTGGTCCTGGGCCGCTTCGTAGCCTAGTTTTTTTCAAATTATTTGGCTTGGCCAGGCAAGTCTCCTAGGCCACTCTGATAGGTGTTCAATCATTGTTTTTTTATTTTTTTTATATTAACGGGTGTTCAATCATTGGATACTTGCGCCGGATCATTAGGTCCGACATCCAGGACATTCACTACAGTTGTTCGGGATCCCGGAGAAACCTGTTTGTGGCCAATTGGGGTCGCCCACGTGTCCGACGATCGAGGCAGGGACCCGCAGGACAAAATATGGGGCGATTCCAAGAGAATAAGAAAACAACAAAGGGCTTGCAACATCTGTGGCAGCTCTAGCAGTTGGAACGGTGTTTCCAGCTATCACTGTTGAAGCAGTTGTTGAAGGAACAAGTCCTGCAAGAGTTGATGCAAACACTGTTGCAAGGGAGCAGTAGTTGCAGCAGAAGCTGCAATCACTGCAGCAGCACCAGCTGCTGGTAACATAGGCAACCAAGGTGACTTGGGCGACCCAATTGGTAAAAAGGGAGCAGTAGTTGCAGCAGAAGCTGCAATCACTGCAACAGCACCAGCTGCTGGTAACACAGGAAACCAAGGTGACTTGGGCGACCCAATTGGTAAAATAGGTAACACATTGGTACCAGTAGGTTGATTTCGATCTTACCATTGTTTTAGCGTGGTGACGTCTGACGTTTGGGCAATAACGTGTTCCCTGGAGTTGATAAACAATGTTACTGTCCTCAACATAAATAGTAACACTTCAAATCTTGTATGTCACAATAACAGGGAAACATATGCATGTCCAGATAGTTGGAAAAATATTGTAAAAAATGATGAATCCTCATATTTATGCAAAACCCACAAGCGTTCTATAGAGGAAAGTGAGCATATGTCAAAAAGTCAGAGATATATTTGCATCACAAATTCTTTAAACCACCATTTCAACGAAGGATGAATTTACGAGTTTGACCTTTGACGATAAGTGCATCAAAGGGCAAACACTAACAATATAAAACCTCTCTCTCTCTGTCTCTTTGAACTCCAGGGTCCATGAATCCCCCCCATTCATGACCCGGGGCCTTACTGTGATCGACGGTCGGGACCCCGACCAGAGAGCGACCTCGGACGGCCAAGTTCCGACCGCAACCTGCGGGAAGTTTTAAAAATCGAAAAAAAACTTAAAAAAAGTCAAAAAACAAAAATAAAAATATAGGGTTTCAGAGTTTTTTTGCGCTCTGCAACCACATATTTTGCTTTTGGAATTTAACTTGTTTTTCGATTAAAAAAAAAAAAAAAAAAAAGCAAAAAATCCCTAAGGTCAAAGTTCTTCAATTTAATTTTTTTATAAGAAAAACAAAGCAATTTATGTTTTTTTATTTTTCAAATCTTGTAAGGAGTTTTGATATGACCTTGGGACAAAAGTTGTTCGGTTTATTTTTATGCATAATAAATTTAGTTTTTCAGATTTGTTAATTTCTTTTTAAAATTTCGACAATAATCTGGACCCCCGATCATAATCGGGGACCACATTCACAGTCCGCGTAGCCGCTACTCAAGGGGATTCATATTCCAGGATTAGAGAAATAATCTGGCCTTCTTTATATCTCTGAACTACAGGACTGGAGAAATAAATTGGCCACATTTTCATGCCAAATCTAGCATAGTTTCATCAGATTAATTTGAAAAGGAACGCTTCTTTGTGTGTGTGTGTGTTTGTGTGTGTGTATGTGTGTGTGTGTGTGTGTGTGTGTGTGTGTGTGTGTGTGTGTGTGTGTGTGTGTGTGTGTGTGTGTGTGTGT